TAGCTCAGTCAGTAGTGCATGAGACTCTTAATCTCAGGGTTGTGAGTTCAAGGCCCACATTGGGTAAAAATATTCCTCCATTGCAGGGGATTGGACTAGATGAGCCTTGTAGTCCCAACTCTACAATTCAGTGATTCTTCTAACCTTTGGAGGTAGAAAATGGTGTCAAGAGGAGAAAGCAATAAGGATAAGGCCTGGGCCGCTCAGGAGCCTCTGGCATGTGAAGATAAGATGAGACCCACCCAAGCATATGGGAAAGAAAGCTTGAGACAAATACTACAAAAAGCCCAAGCTTAGTCTATGAGACTCACCCTCACAGATAGAGAACCATGCCCCATCTGACTACAACATCACACAACCCTCAGCTTGGTAAGAATCTTACTTGTAACCAGTCTACTAAAGTTTATGTTGACATAGTATATTGATTCCTTGCTTAAAGTGTTAGATTATTGGAATAGGATGTGTGCACTGAAGTGTTTTACTGCATATAAGAGTTGTAGTGTTTGTTTGTTTGTTTGTTTGTTTGTTTGTTTGTATCCTACCTTTCGTCCAAGGAGTTCTAGTCAGTGTACAAGACAGTTCTCTTCCTCCCCATTTAATCCCCACAGCAACCTTGTGTGGTAGATTAGGTTAGGCTGAGAGTGGTAGTGACTGACCCAAGGTCATCCACTGAGCTTCATGGCCAAGTGGGGCTTTGAACCCTGGTCTCTCCCAGGTCCTAGCCCTGCACTCTAACCACTGCGCCACACTGGCTCTTCTCCCTTACAGGGCCAACTTCACTCTTGTAGGAAGGTCTGTGTCAATCTTCTCCATCGCAGTCACCAAGAGAACTGGCCATGGTGGTTTTCCTGTGGTTGGCATCCAGCCTTTCTGAATCTCTTCCCGATTTTTTAATGTTTTGATGTTTTCCGTTCTGGGATATTTGTTTGCTATGAGCTCTTCCAACGAGAGAAGCCACAAAACTTTTCCTTTCTATTGTTCTGGCATATGCTGCTCGCGACGCTGGGGTCCCCGTGCCAGAGGAACCATATGGCAGGGATTGGGCTGTGTTGTGGTTTTTCTTTTCCTCCTTTTTTTGGGGGGGGGGGGAGAAAGCACGTACACAAACAAAGAGCAGCAGGAGCGAGGGGGGTGGGGGAATGGTCCGTAATTAAATGCTGCCATCACTGCTAACGGCGTAGTGAATCGCTCAGGCGTCAAGGGCTCATTGCGTTGGCAAAAGAGCTCGGTTTTTTGTCTGTCTCGCGGAAAGCAAAGTGGGCATCCTCGTCGCCCTCGCCCTCTTCCAGCCCCGGAGCCACTTCTCCCCTCATTGTGCGGAGGCGCTATTACGCCTAATGGAAGCTCCGCCGCGCTCGCAGGAAGGACAAATAGCCCCTATAATAGCACGTGAATCTTTCATAGGATGGAAAATGAGCAGGTGAGCCTGCAGGGAGCTGTTGCTTCTAAATGCCGGCTGGGTGGAAGTAATTGGTGCGTGCAGCAAGCGGCGTGCCAGTCGGACGAAACAGCCATCGTTTGGGGCGGGAGGAGGGGGGTGTCTGTTGACCCCCCAGCAGAACGTGGCTCATAGTTGGGTGAGGAAACAAAACAGTCTCCCAGCTCCCTCATCAAAGAAAAGGAAGGGAAGTATGTGTAAGGATGAGACCACTGTGTTTATTAGCAACAGAAGGCAACCGTTCGCCTTCTCCATTGCGTTATGCACGCAGAGCACCCAGGGATCTCTCGCTTTCGCAAAGGATTGGCCGTGGCTGGGCGGGGAGGACTTACACGACGGTCCTCTCTGTGCCAGGGGGTCCTGTGTGACGTGTATCTTCATGGGAGTGGGGACTTTCAGAAGGTTTCCTCCCTGCGTTGTGTTTGTCTAGTCCAAATCCCATTGGACTAGAATTGGATTTGCGGTGGGTTTCCTCTCTGGGAGCCTTTTGAGAACGTGCGTGCACACCTCTGCTTGCGGCATAGCCTGCCACATAATACCCGCACTGCTTTTGTGTCAGCACCTAAACTCTGGGTGTCCCTGTCTATTGGTATCAGGCAGGCGCCTTCTCTGTATTCTTTTCTCTACTAAAGTCATTATTGTTTGGACAAGCATTCCCAGTTGGTTAGAAGGTTAATGCAATAACAACAACAAAATTAAATAAAGTCGATGCGAATTTTAATCTGCTTTTAGTCTACTGTTATTTTAACTTTTGAAAGTTTTAAACTATTAAAAAATTAATTATTGGTAATTCTATTGTTGTTTTCTGTAACCCGCTTTGAGGTGTGTGCTGGTTTTTTTGTTTGTTTGCTTGCTTACAATCAAGCAGTGTATACATTTTATGAAATAAATAATTAAATAAATTAAATAAAATCATGTCCTGGGAGACTGGGGTGGGGTGAGGACTGCCTGCCCCAGCATTTCATCCAGAAGGTAGTCCTTTGGGTCACCTAAGTTCTCATCATCACTTGTTTTATTTTGGGGGGGGGGGGTTGATGATGATGATGATTATGAAGAAGAAAATCAAAGGAAAGGAAGTGGGGTTTCTTTCTCCTCAGGAAAATCTTCACCATTTGCTCAAAAGCTATTTGCGGAACAGCTTTTGGGATTGCCCTCAAGACCCATGTGTATGTTCTTTTACTTGTGGACAAATAATAAAGCTGAATGTTGGAAGATTCAGCGTGAATAGAATAAATTTCTTCTTCATGCAGCACAGAGTTAAGCTCCCTCCCACAGACAAATTCATGGCAGAGAATAAGGCTGTTGATGACTACTACTAGCCATCACAGCTATACATTGTCTCCACAACTGGAGGCAGCAATGCTTCTGAGTCCCAGTTGCTGGAAGCCACAGGAGGGGAGAGGGGGATCTTGTGCTCATGTTCTGCTTGTGGCTTTCCCACAGGCTGGCCACTGTGAGAACAGGATGCTGGACTAGATGGGCCATTCGCCTGATCCAGAAGGCTCTACTTATGTTCTCGTGTTACCCAGAAGCTTGTTTCTGACAAAGAAAGACATAACGACAGGAAGAGGGAGAGCTGCCTGATTTCTCTTTCCTCCACCCCAGTCACTTCCCCAGATGTAAATTGTGTCTCCTCAGCCCAACCCACTCACTTTGGCTCACCACCTTTGTGTACAAATTCTGCTTCCACACCCCTCCTCTGCTCACTCCCCCCCCCACAAGAAAAACAATCCCTTGGTGGTCTTGTGAAGAGAGCTGAGTTTCCAGACCAGGGAGGGATCGGTTGGCGAGAGTTCCCTGCTAATGAGATCTCAGAGGATTTCTGCCTTCACCTTTCTGCATGTGTGTATCTTATTGATGGTGGCAGCTTGGCTGCTGTTGCCACAGCTAAGGGCCTCTTGGCTGTCGCTGGGCTTTTCCAGAGGCGCAATTAGCAGTCATAATTGCCTTGTGAAAGGAAGAGACCCACCTTTTGCCCACTCCTGGAGGCCAATTGTTCTTTTATCCTATTAACAGAAGTGCTGTGTGGGGAAAGTGGCTGTTTTGCAGGAGGAAGTTGTGTTGTGGAAATGGGTGGCTCTCCATCATACCACCCCAATACACCTGTATCATGACACCACTTACTCGTCTTTTCTCTAAACTAAACAGTCCCCAATGCTGCTACCTTTCCTCCTGGGGAATTACTCCATCCCCTTGATCATAATTTTATAAACTTCTATCATGTTGCCTATTACTTGCCTATTCTCTAAACCAGTGGTTCCCAAACTGTGCTCCGCAGAGCACTTGGCTCTCCACGAAGCTTTCCCAACTGCTCTGTTGGAAAGGAAAATAAATAAATACATGCCTTTGGCATAAGGGCAACAATATTGCTCCATGACAAATTTCTCTCCTGAACAGTGCTCCACGACTCAGGAAGTTCAGGAACCGCTGCTCTAAACTAAAAATTCCCAAACACTGCTACCTTTCCTCTTGGGGAATTGCTCCATCTCCTTGGTCGTTTGGGTTGCCCTTTTCTGAATGTTTCCCAACTCTGCAATATCCTTCTGAAGGTGAATCGACCAGAACCATACACAGCATTCCAAATACAGTTGAACCATAGATTTGCATGATGGTATTATCAGCAGCTACATTTCAGTCCCTTTCCTAATGATCCCCTCAATTGACAGTGGGGTGTGTGTGTGGGTGGGTGTGTGGGTGGGTGTGTGATGGTGGTTATCAGGTCACCACGCCCACTTTAGCCCATCACTTCCATTCAGGCCATGGCACACAGCCCCCCCCCCCCGAAGACCGGCCAAGGAGTGGGGAAGTGTTAGTCACCCCTGCCTTAAAGACTAACAAACATATTTTGGCATGAATCTGATGAAGCAGACTATGGTCCACAAATGCTTATGGCATTATGAATTTATTAATCTTTAATTTGCCACAGGACTCCTGGTCATAAGTTTAATCAGTATTTTTAATCGACAACTTAGTCTCTTAAACACTTAGATCACTCGAAGTGTATACTATAGCATAAATACACAATTCATGTCCCTTTAAAGTTTTTTAAAAAACTAGTTTCTGAAGCATTAAAATATGTTTAGCCTTGCTGGCTTAATCTTGAACACTGGAATTAAATGGGGCGGTTTGAGCTCCCTCCCATCCACCCACAACTGCCCCCCAGCAGCTCCCAATGGAAATGATCAACAAGCAAAGCCTTTGCCATTTTGAGAACCACAGTAAGACTCTTCCTGTTTTGGTGTCCTAAAAAGAGTTGGATTTGCCCTGTTGGCAAAGTAGGGTGATCAGCACCAAGGTCAGGGAAACTGGTGTCTGAATGGTGCAGCAAGACTTTCTAATGAACATTAAGTAGATCCTGCTGGATCAAGCCAACAACCCATCAGGGGCAGCATCCTGATCTCACAGTAGGCAACCAGGATTTGAGCACACTCTCGCACTCTGTGGCTTCCACCAACTAATATTCAGAAGCATTGCTGCCTCCAACTGTGAAGGCAGAGCCATCAATAGCCCCCTCCGTCATGAATTTGTCTAATCCATAGTTTAACTAAGTGCTGCATGGGGAAGGCCCTTAGCTCAGTAGTAAAGCATCTGCCTTGCAAGCAGATGGTCCCAGGTTCAATCCCAGCCAGGACTTGGGAGTGGTTCCTGCCTGAATATTGGGTAGTTGCTGCTGGTCAGTGTAGACAATTCTAAGCTAGATGGGCCAATAGTCTCGCTCAGTACAAGACAGCTTCCTGTGTTTCTGTCCTGTCCTGCCCCTGCTTCTTTTTATCTGTCCTGAATCATCTAACAGCCCGCTCCATTGGATGCCCACGAATTCTAGTGCTATGAGAGAGGGCTGACCTGAGTGTAGTAGCTGGGAGTGGGGGGTAGAAGGAGATGCAAAATGCCTTGGTTCCAACTGTGAATCACACCCCTCCCTTCACCCTGCCTCTTCTGTGCGTTTGCCAGAAATGCAGCTGTTGAGTGGGGGGAAAGAAGAGGAAAACGGAAAACCCCTGAAGGAGCACACACAAAAGCAACATTTGAATCTATCACAACAACAATTTTCTTTGCAGTCAGATCCAAGCAGAATGATTTAATCAAGCTCTCGCTCGTTCTTTCTTTCTCTCTGTATTTTAGGGGAAACTGGGGAGAATTATCTCCCTGAAATTCATCCCAGGTGAATGCATTTATGATCTCGTTTCCCTGACACAAATCTCACTGCGATGCAGCTGCCAGATCTGAGTGCCTTCTGAAAGAGGAGCTGTTTTGTTTTATTCAGAAGCCGCTGTCCCACCTCTCTGAAAGAAAATGTCACCCATCCCGGGGCTTCCCTACAACACGCTCAAGAGCTGTGATAGCAAACAAGGAGATGGAAGCAGAGGCAGAAAAGCAGAAAGAGGATCAAAATGTTGCTGATCGTTAAAAGCAGCTCCACAGCTGCAGGAAAGGACCATCATGGAGGAGCAACAGGCAAGTGATGTTGTCCAAAATAATTGCCTTGCAGCCAGGAGCATTTCACATGAGCAAAGGGGTTCCAGGGTTGGGTAATGAGCCAAAGGTCAATTAGGAGATGGGAGTTATGAATTCCTCACTGGACTCCAGAGACCTGTTAGAAACTCCCCAGTCTGTCAAGGGTGCTTCTCAAATTCCTTTTTGTAGGTCAGGGCTGGGCTGGCATAAAGCATTTCATTGCCTGAGGCGAAAAATTCAGACAGGATTCCTCAGCTGTCATGCTCTTCCTCCTTCCTGTCCAGACCTGACTACAACCAGATGAAACCTCAACATCATCATAAGACTCCTTTGCTGATCCCGGCATCTGTTGGGATGAAGGGGACTCGGAACACACTAACAAATTCAGGTTGCAAGAAAGGAGATTCCAACTAGCCCTTAGGAAGAAGTTTCTGACCGTAAGAGTTGTTTGACAGTGCAACTGACTCCCTCAGAAGGACTCCTTCATTGGAGGTTTTTAAGCAGAGGTTGGGTGGCCATCTGTCAGGGACTCTTGAGCTGTGATTCCTGCATTGCAGGGAGTTGGCCTAGATGATCCTTGGGGTCCGTTCTATGGCTGTGCAGCTGGAAAGTCTGCTCCTCGGTGTACTGGACAGCTCCCCAGCCTCACCAGGAGGGGTGGGATTCTAAGCCACAGTGTGACTGGTAGTGCTGGGATGGGACACCCACAAGGAAGCCCTCATGAACACGGTCCATCACCCGTTATCCCGCACAAGCTTCAGTGAAGTGGATTTTTTGCCACAGAATGGATTCCGCCTTGGAGAAGCCGTTCTGCAAGCAGTGGATACAAGCTGAAAATGGATCTGCATGGTTCAGGTTGGCTTTGCCCAGAGAAAAGAATAGAACATTGTGATTTACAGGTAATTGCAAAGTAAATGTGAGAATCCTTGTTTTACTAACACAATAGGCTCTCAGTGCAATTCACACAGTGTTGCTGTCCTCAAGAGTTACGCCTGCTGAGTGGGAATACACTGCTGCTAATTCCCTTTTGAGAGCAAAGTGCTATGCAGGCAGAAAGAGCAACCACATCACCTGGTGATAATGCTTATACCAGTAGGATTCCACTAGCACAAGGTGGGGGGGCTGGGTGGTGTTGGCAGAGTGGCAGAGGCAAAGGAGTGGGGCCTCATCTCAGTCCTAAGCTGTGGCTTCAGCTTCAAGTGCAAAAATACACCTGCAGGAGAGGTGGCCTGTGTTGACACTCCCAGCAAAGTTGGTGAACAGTCCCAGAGAACACTGTGCATGAATGCCCCGTGTTCATGCACACACACACACCCTACACACCCCAGTCAGCATGAAGGATAGGAGTCTAACTACTGCAGTCAGTCATGGCCCTAGAAATAGATAAGGTGCAGGTCTCATATCTCAAGACATGTGTTGTGGCGCTATATCACTCTCTGTCTATGTGTCTAAAGACACAGGGGTTGACATGCTGATTTTATGGAAGGGAACTTCCTTCAGACAAAGCGAATGCTTGGCAATGTGGGGGGGGAGGCACAATAATACTCACATTATCCTATTTGCCAATTTGATAATAGAGTCAATCAGCCATTGAAAGCCTTTTGAGTTAGGGAGTGAATCTTGGTGAGACAGCAGATTTTTACCTGTTGCAATCACATGAAGAGAGATGTTTGTAGGTAAGGAAAATAGCAAAGTAGTTGATTTCTGGAAATACATGCTTGGATAGAAAAGTTTGAAGTTCCTAGTATAACTAGTTAGTCTACAGTAGAACATGTAGAACATGCTGGCTGCTTTGTTGTCTCAGAGGACATATCCAAGGTGACCTCTCATCTGGAGGTCTGAGAGAGAAGTGGGAGGATGATGACATCGTAAGCAGAATGAAACATCAGTTGAAACATCAAAGAGCTAGGGAGGGCATTACAAGTGGTTAAATACATAAGGGTAGTCTGGGAGTCTCGAGGTCCCTAACTCTGACTGTCTTAACCCATGAGAGCCAGTATGGTATGGTGGTTGGGTGTTGGGCTAAAACCTAGAAGACCAGGCTTCAAATTCCCATTCAGCCATGAAGCTCACAGGGTGACCCTGGGCCAGTCACCGCCTCTCGGCCGAACCTACCTCACAAGGTTGTTGTGGGGATTAAGCAAGCAAGAAAGGATAGAGCCATGTACACTACCTGGAGCTCCTTGGAGAAAAAAGGTGGGATAGAAATGCAATCTTGTGCAAGCTGAGCTGCACCCAAATTTCCATCACGAACAAAGAGAGTGAACCCCTCTAGAACAGGTGGTACACCAGTAAGGAGAACCATCCACTAGCAGCATCTCAGTCTTCTCTGAGTTAAGCTTCATCTTACTAGACCTCATCCAGTCCATTATCATGACTGGGCAACAGTTCAGCACATCCACTGCCTCACGTGCCTCACAGCAAGCCACCAGCATACTGATGTCAATGCCCTCCAAAACTCCCTATGACCTTCTGCATTGCAGGAGTCTGGACTAGCTGATCCTTCCAACTCTACAATTCTGTGGTTTCTATGACATTTGTGAGAAGCGTCCCTTACAGATGAAGGGGCCCCACATGCTCCTGTCCTTGGCGAAAGACGTCCTGAAGCAGAATCCACTGCAAGTTGCACTCCTGCTCTCCATAGATTCCTTGTGCAGTTCTTTGGATAAGTTCAAATTAGCTGTGATTAAGCTAATTTCAAGGTAATTAACTTCAAAATATCTCCCCCTCCCTCCTTAAAACCCTAAGTGGCTGTTTATTAGGCACTGGAGAGGTATCCTAGAAAGTGACGTGATTAAAATCTGCTGGTGCCGCTAACAAAATGTGAATATTTTTAATCCAATTAAATGGCATAATTAATAGGTGGTAACATACTAGCTTGGGTAGGGGGTTGCTCAAGATCCTTCCTCATGTCTGCAGCTCTTCTTCCTTCAGGGGAGAAGGTGGTGCCCCAAGCTAGCACCTTGGAGGGCTGCCCCCCAACAGAGGTCCAGCATAACTCCTGAGGGATGTGCTTGGGACCACAGAGCCCCCCACAACACCCCATGTCTTGCTCTGGGTCAAGGCAGTAAGCAAGTGGTAGGTACTCGGCATGAAGAAGACAGAGAAACGTTACTGGGTGACAGAGATAAGGTGGAACTGCTCAACATCTCCTTTGCCTCTGTCTTCATCCAAAAGAAAAGCCCAACCTAGTGATGACAGAAAAAGGGCACTCTAGCCATCTCTCTCTGCTCAGGAGGACTGAATGAATGGCATTCTTCCCTAGAACCATCTGCACTGCTTCTGCCATATTAGGATAAGGGGAACAGCAGCAAACAATAAATGCATCTGCCAACAACAACCTGATTCCTACCTGCTGCCAGGAAACATGAAGGGATGCCCCCAGTGGGGCCTGAAGACCCAGGGCATGGCCGCCTCCTGAGGACTGTTGTTTTCCAAGGCCATGATTCAGTGTGCCTTTCCTTGCTCCTCAGGTGACCCTCTGCACCCTTGGAGAAACAAAGGCTGAGTTGTCTTCTGCCTTTCATCTTACAAGGGCACAAAGCTCCTTGATAAAAGCCCAGCAGGTGCGTGGGGCTGGGGCGGAGGCATTTTGTAAGGCCGGCACTTTTAAAGAGATGCGCCTCTGTTCCCCCAGCTCTCTCCTCTCTCCCGCTTTGTACAAATAACTCTTCCTCACCAGCCGCTTTTGTGTTCAATTTCACTGAACACTGAATGTCAACCTCCCGTTAATTGCTTCTCTCCCAGTCTTTGTGCATGCCATTAAAAAAAAAATGCCACACATACAATTTTAATTTTAAAAGGCAACTTGTTTGTTTTATATTGAAATTACCCAGCCCGCTTTGGCCCACAGAAACAGCTGCACTCCCATTTACACATCTTTAAAAAAAAATCTTTGTGATGATAAAAAGCAGCAGCAGTGAGAGAGAAAGAATAAAAAGGGGCAGAAAAATCCCAGTCCATAAAGAGAGAGAGAGAGAGAGAGAGAGTCCTGTGAGCAGAAGGGGAAATGGGGGTGGGGAGTTGAAAGAGAGAGAAAGGCACTTTTTTGCCAATTTAGCCTTCTTGTAGGTTTCGGAGGGTCAGTCTGATAGTGCCCTAAGTCTCATCTGAATATTTGGGGTCCTGTACCCAGTGAGGTTGGGACGCGGGTGGCGCTGTGGGTTAAACCACAGAGCCT